CATGCCGACTGTATCCTCTCCGGATCGGACCTTGCCGCCATCGTCTCCCTCAGAGACCACCATTGCATCCCATGGCACGAGTTTTTCTATTCATGCAGAATCCACCCCAGCTGAAGGAGGCACAACCTCTTCGCTCCATTCGACACGCTCAAGCACTGCAGTCCCAGAAACCATGTCCTCCGCAGAGTCGGTGGCCTCTATTGTCACCACGACAGCTACTGTTGGCATGACTGAGCTAACCTCCGCCAAGGAACAAACTAGTCCCTCCCTCGCCCACTCTTCTACCATGCAGCCGAAAGGAACCTCACCGCAGGAGACCACAACTCAACACCCGCCTTCTGGCTCTTCCACAGGGGAACCGGAGGTCAGCTCTGCCCGAGGCACCTCCGTTTCCCCGTCAACTTCTTCCCCTTCCAGTCACCACTCTTCCCTTGCCCTTACCAAGGAAACCACCGTCTCCTTCCGGTCCACCCATCCTCCAGCCAAGGTCGAATCAACAGCAGTTGAGGGGACCAGCCCTTCCCTCTCTTCGGCAACATCTCCTACGTCTGTGCAGCTCAGAACCTCGACTCTGGAGGTGACCGGTTCCACCCCGATGAGGTCGCCTTCCACTGTGGAGACCAGCGTCACGTCTCTTGAAGGTCAAACCACGCCAACCTTCAGCAAGGTTTCTCCCACTAAGGCCGAGCTGACCTCAGCAGAAGTGACCAAAACAGCTTCCCCAGCATCCGACTCTCCCCTGGCCACGTCTCCTTCCATGCCGACCGTATCCTCTCCGGATCGGACCTCGCCGCCATCGTCTCCCTCAGAGACCAGCATTGCATCCCACGGCACGCGTTCTTCTATTCATGCAGAATCCACCCCAGCTAAAGGAGGCACCACCTCTTCGCTCCATTCGACACGCTCGAGCACTGCAGTCCCAGAAACCATGTCCTCCGCAGAGTCGGTGGCCTCTATTGTCACCATGACAGCTACTGTTGGCATGACTGAGCTAACCTCCGCCAAGGAACAAACTCGTCCCTCCCTCGCACACTCTTCTACCATGCAGCCGAAAGGAATCTCACCGCAGGAGACCACAACTCAACACCCGCCTTCTGGCTCTTCCACAGGGAAACCGGAAGTCAGCTATGCCGAGGCACCTCCGTTTACAGTCAACTCTTCCCCTTCAGGTCACACTCTTACCATTGTGGCCCTACAAGGAAACCACCGTCCATTCACGGTCCACCGTCTCAGCCAATGGTTAGAATCAACAGCAGTTGAGGTGGGAACAGCCCTTTCCCTCTCTTCAGGCGTCAACATCTCTACGTTTAGTTGCAGCTCATAACCTAGACTGTGGAGGTGACACGGTTACACCCCGATGAGGGTAGCCTTCCACTGTGAGAGACCCGCTTCACGTCTCTTGAAGCGTTCAAACCACGCCCCAAAAAAAAACCTCAGCACGGTTTCTCCCACTAAGGCCGAGCTGACCTCAGCAGAAGTGACCAAAACAGCTTCACCAGCATCCGAATCTCCCCTGGCCACGTCTCCTTCCATGCAGACTGTATCCTCTCCGGATCGGACCTTGCCGCCATCGTCTCCCTCAGACACCACCATTGCATCCCACGGCACGCATTCTTCTATTCATGCAGAATCCACCCCAGCTGAAGGAGGCACCACCTCTTCGCTCCATTCGACACGCTCAAGCACTGAAGTCCCAGAAACCATGTCCTCCACAGAGTCGATGGCCTCTATTGTCATCAAGACAGCTACTGTTGGCATGACTGAGCTAACCTCCGCCAAGGACCAAACTAGTCCCTCCCTCGCCCACTCTTCTACCATGCAGCCGAAAGGAACCTCACCGCAGGAGACCACAACTCAACACCCGCCTTCTGGCTCTTCCACAGGGGAACCGGAGGTCAGCTCTGCCCGAGGCACCTCCGTTTCCCCGTCAACTTCTTCCCCTTCCAGTCACCCCTCTTCCATTGCCCTTACCAAGCGCAACACCACACGTCACTTCCACGCGTACAACCCGTCATCCAGACCAAAGGTCACGACATACAAAAGCCAGTTGAAGGGGACCAGCCTTTCCCTCTCTTCCGCGCAACATCTCCTCCGGCGTGCAGCTCAGACCACCCCTGATATGGAGGTGACCGGTTCACCCGGATGAGGGCGCATATCACACTGGGAGACCAGCTTCCACGTACTCTTGAAGGTCAAACCACGCAACCGTCAGCAAAGGTTTTCTCCCATTAAGGCCGCCATGTCGACCTCAGCAGAAGTGACCAAAACAGCTTCCCCAGCATCCGAATCTCCCCTGGCCACGTCTCCTTCCATGCCGACCGTATCCTCTCCGGATCGGACCTCGCCGCCATCGTCTCCCTCAGAGACCACCATTGCATCCCACGGCACGAGTTCTTCTATTCATGCAGACTCCACCCCAGCTGAAGGAGGCACCACCT